ATCCTTTTATCCAATAAGATACTCCAATAAGCATCTTCGTTCTCCTTAAACATCTCTCAATTCAAACCCAACCACCTTTGCCCAATTTGAATCCAATTTAATTAGTATTTAGGTTTGAATTGGGGAGTTCGAAGGAGAAAGAGGGGGCTCTATTGATAAGAGGAAAAGAAAGAGTGGAAGGAGGATCTTATTGGGTAAAACGGTAGAACAAATTTAAATTGGGAAGTAGAAAAACAATGGTGTAGATTTAATAATTTTGATAAATCTAGTAGTGGAAAAAATTTCCCCAAAGAAAAAATACAGTTCGCTAGAAAAAGACCTTGTTATCATTGGCGCACATGTTAAAATTCCATATTGACACAAAAACAAAAATAAACCCAAGTTAATACAAGTAATTTTAACTTCAATCCAGGATGAAGATTAATTTCCTTCATTACGTACTAAATAGCTAAAATAAGGTAATGAATCCTCACTGCAGGAATTAGGTAGGGAGACCTTAGTTCAAGTAACGAAAATTCTTATAGCCTTCCCATTTTCATGTGACCTATATGGAGCCAATAGAGCCTAACTAAGGCATGATAAATAACGAAAATTTCAAATTTAAATACAAAAATATGTTATGCAATCACAGCTCATCTTAAAATATTGCTTCACTATATACACAAACCAATATCAGAAGCATCCAAGTTATTTTTCTGTCGTAAACAAAATACGGTCAAACAATTAAAAATTCAGAAACTGTAGAATAAATCAAATGCCTGCCCGTTCATTTCTGAACCTCCTTATGAACCAACTCTTCCTCGTTCATCAACATGAACAAAACATTCGTATACAAAATCAACCAATAAATATTCTTTTGCTTGCTCATAAGACTGGAGTATGCATGTTACAATAACTCCAGCAAAATTGAAATTACATTACGAGCAGCCTCACCTTCAATTTTTAAACCTAATACTGCGACTGACATTGGCGTTGACTCCAGATGCCTCTCCTCCGTATGGCCCTGTAGGCTTCCTAATGTCGCGCACCTGCCCTTTGCGTCGAGTAACTGCCTTTTGATGCTTAATCTAAAATACAACAATGAAAAGAACATAATTATATCGAACTTTCAAAAGTATCATAACTGAATGGCCAGTTTATTATAAGTTCCATATAGTAATGTTTACCTTGTATTTCTTTCGGGGATTTTTGGTAAGTTTCTTCCTATTTCGAGTAAGCCCTCTATTTTTCTCCATTTGGTATGTAATCTGCCTTTTATCTTCTTCTCCAATTTCCAATGGTGATGGGTTTGGAACTGCTGGAGTTCTGCAGAGATGAAAATAAACAAAAGGCAAGAGACATTTACACTTTGATCAAGCCGAAGATCTTCTTTTCTTTTTTCAATCAATTCTCATATCAGAACACAGCAATTGAAACATACCTGCCATATAGTTGTGCTTTGGCTATGAGTTTGTTGGCCCGTCGTTTCTTTACTTGTGTATAGAATTCGTCTTCAGATTCTGGTTCATCTCCATCTTCTTCTTGCATAGTAGCATCAGCCGCCATGGTTTCTTTAATATCATCTGCTTCGTCCTCCATATAATCATCTCCATCGCCTAGAGATTTGGTTCCAGCTCTAGCCATTACACGGAGTTCATGTTTTCTACGCCTCTCCCCAATATCATCCCTCTTAGGCAAGTCCTCGTCACCAGAAATAAGCTTGAAAAGAAGTAATTTCAAATATTGTGTCAATAGCGAAAGCTATCAAAGCAAGGCAAGAAAGCATGAAATGGGGATAAAATAATAAGAGAATACGATGCAGTAGATAAATAGAAAATTGTATCTTTAATAAAATAACCCATCATGATCGTATTAAAAAGCAACGCTGAAAATATGAGTTCCAATATAGGGCTTACGAAAATGCCAAACTTATCCTCCAATGTGCACGTTAATTCATGTAAAATTTTGCTGGATATATAATTATAAACATTTTAAGAAATGAGAAAGCAAAAAATATATCTTTTAATGCAATTTTACAAAGGCTAAAATACCACTTTAGCCTATAAAGTGAGACTCACTAACCAAAAAGGACTAACAAAGTGACGCTGGTGGCAGTAACACCTATAAATTTACACACTTAACCGTTTACACATACTCCGGTCACCGGAGTTTCGATTTGAGCGGGAAAATTATGGATTTTTGCATATATATCCCTCGTATCTCTCATGTTTATAGATTTGCCCTCCAAAATTCAAAATATTTACAAAAAATCATCTCTGCCTATCATCTCCTTCATTCTCCTCTCCCCTCTCTCACGTCCTCTCCACTTTCCTCCTTCCAAAAATTACTCACTCTCACCTTTCCTCCTTTCCAATGTCCTCACCCCCTCCTCCTCCTCCCCCTCCCCCTCCTCCATCCATGTTCCTCTTCCCAACCTCTCTATTCTCTCATGATCCCATCTCAGTGTTCTCCCCTTCCCTCCTATCCTTTCCTCTCTCATCTCCCCTCAAATATTAATTAAAAGTGGAGAAGGCAGTGGAGAAAGGGGAGGAGAGAAGGGAGGAGGGAAATGAGGGGAGTGAGAGAGAGGTTGAGAAGAAAGAGAGAGCTTGGGTTTATATGTAAATATTTTGATTCAGATGATAAATCTGCAAGTGAGAGATTTGAGGGGTATATGTGCAAAAATCCATAAATTTCCGCTCAAAGCAAAACTCCAGCGACTAGAGTAGGTGTAAGTGGTTAGCTGTGTTAATTTATAGGTATTATTGCCGGCCTTACTTTTTAGGCCTTATTGGTTAGAGTGTGTCACTTATAGGCTAAAGTGGTATTTTAGCCATTTTACAAATCCAGAATTCCTCAAATCATGGAACTTAATAATTAAAAATTACTATCACCACAAGAAACTTGAAGTTCATGATTCTTCCAGTCTTGTCTGTTCTCAACTACTTCCCCTGCACCTCAGTATTTGAATTTAAAAAGCAACTACTAGATAGGAAAGCTCGCTATTAAACAAACTACATGTTACAGTTGTTATAACTAGGGTCGTAGGGTTCATAAATTAGATGCCAAGGGTTAGGAGTATATGCAGTTGTAGAATATAAAACAACATACATCTAAAATATGAAACTCACAAAATTGCTCTTAAATATTTTCTTTAAAATATAATGTTATTTCCAACCTCTTTGAATATACCAAATTATGGAAACCATCAGGTAGTGGCTTTGGCTCCTAAGTTCTAGTGGATTTGAGACATTCAGTTGAATGCATGGTTACTGTTAACTTCTATATTCTACTTAAAACTATCTTAGTTCTGCTTGAACTTCTTATAAATGATGCTACCAGTACCAGCCTGATCCTCAACTCACGTGTAATTTGTAATTATGTGATCTCTAACAGGCACCATTTTCGCCAAAATTGTCAGCAGAAGATGAGTATTAACCAGCACATAGTAAAATACTAAAACCTATAATAACATTCAACAGCATTAGTTAATGACATAGCATATTGCCACAATGAGCACACAAGCTGAATCAGGTTAACCTTTACCAAACTGCTAATAACCACGATAGGGTTTTAAACCACCTGGAATCTGATATCTCAAATTCTCTAAATCTGCCATCATAAAGGTTTTATTTCTTGTTGGCAGTCTAATGTAATGACAGATGAGAAAATATTGCACAGCATAGGACTACATCCTTAAAAAAAGGGTTTAATCCCTACATGCCGTCTATACTATTTATTTCTATCTGCTTACCCCCTGAATTATTTTTTGTTTCACATTGCCTCTAAACTATAAAATTAGTCTCTGCTTAACCCCATCAACTATTTTCAGTCCAACCTTAACCCCTGAAGTATCACTGTCCTCATAACCCCAAAGCTATAAACAAAAAGTGGTAACTGAGTAAGTGATAGTTCTGAAGGTAAGCAGGAAAGAATTTAATAGTTTAAGGGGCAACGTGGAACCAAAAATAGTTCAGACGGTAAACAGGGGACAAATTCAATAGTTTAGAGGACATGTAGGGACTAACAATTGCTCAGGAGGGTAAGCAAGAACAATTTTCAATAGTGTCAGGGGCAAGGAGCGTCTGAAGCCTAAGAAAATAAACTTCAATCCACTGCCTAAAACACCTATTTCAACTGAAAACACGTCTAGTCAAGCTACTGTGAAAATATAGATCATATAGTATACCACCAATAATCACGATGGTATCACATGAAATGTAGTAATCATACCATTTGTCAAGAAGGCATTATGTGCATATTATGATTTATGGGTACTATTTGAGCATGAATGGCACATCAACTATGACCGGTTAACCTTTGCTACAGTGATACTTTGCCAGCACCAAATGGCTACACATGTCCTATTATTCCAAAGCTTAAAGATTACTAAAGATTTTCCATGAGTAAATTTAGATAACAAGATTGGTGAACCAAGCCTAAAACCTTTGCCCGGTAAAGAGAGCACATGACTGTTAAGAGCTGAAAACTTCACTAAGGTTAAAGCTTTTTATCATGTGTCAACATAAAGCATATTGTGCCTCCAAAACAGTTCAGGTAATAATTATCTTCAGTTAAATTATTTTTCCTGTAATCATTTTCAACACTGTACATACACCAGAGCTATCATTACATACGAACAGAAATCAGGAAACTCCAAACAGTGAGAAACAAAAACTGCATCTAGTTATCAGTCACTATTTCCTAGAAAAGTGCAAGTTCCAAAAGCAAAACCACGTCTTAAAAAAATTAAATAAATAAATAAACTTCAATGTAGCTATTGGATACAATATGACAGACAATACCTTGAGCTTCTTTGCTTTGGTTGAGACTAGTTTAGAGGGCAACAAACTTGTCTTAGAATTATTGTCATGATGTCCTTTTGCACTTAGCTGCACTTCATCATCATAATCATCCAGTGTTTCAAGACGTCTGTCAGAATTCAACAAACAACGGGCATTAGAAAGTAGACAAGGGCTAACAGGACATTGTTGTTATGATAATTACAAGAAAGAATGCACACTTTATAAATAATAAAAATTCTGATAATGAAAGATACATACTGATTAGCTGGCTTCCAAACATGATTTTGTGTTGCTTCAGGATTCAAATTTGAAGAATTATATATTCCCTTCTGCTTCAATTTGGCTTCAAGGTTTGCTCTAATTTTCAGCATTTCCATACTCTGTAAATCCACCTGAGAATTTCAATTCATTCAGAAATTTTTTTAACTTGTTCTTCAATTCTACAATAAAGCAAGGAAGCATTCAAAACCGTCTCTTCTCTACGATGTTTAACCTGTATATTTTTACTGGCATTTTTACCATCAAAATCCTTTGAGACACCCTTTATCGATTGGGTTGTTTCACTCAGCTGCAGAAATAACAATAATTAGGAACATTCTAACTGTTGATGACTATGGAAATAAATCTGAGATTAAATAGAATACATCTGCTGTTTCGGATGGTCTTGCTGATGCATTTGTCATGTTTGGTTCAGAATCCATTGGTACACTTTGTTGAGCAAGAATAATGCCGGCATCCATGGTAAGATTCACAATATCTTCAATTTGGGAAGGAAGATCAATCTGCTCCATCTGCAAGAAAAATATGTAATAGAAAGTTTATATTGATGTGATACCTAACTCAAATACATCTCTCTGTAGAAAAATAGAAAGTCGATAAAACTGCAAGATTAGAAAACCCTCATGAGAAAATATCATGTGAGAGAGTGAGAGAATTTAAAAACTAAGAACTTTGAAAGTATGTGTACATATATATATGCATATACACGTGTGCGTGCATACCTTTTCCAGCAAGTTCTTTATCTCCACGAGACGAGCTATTACTGGATGATCACGTACTGAATGCCCTTCAGACTTAAGAAGAAGATAGAAGCCAATTGCTTGGCAAAAAGTCAGCAGCAGAATCTGTTTCACCTCCAAATACTTCATTAAACCTCCAGTTGTATCTTTTTTCTCTTTTGACACCTTCAATATTCATGAAGCTGTATTAGGATGTTCAATAGCAGGAAGCTTATATCCAGTATACTAGACATACATAAATTGCTCAAATGAAAATAACATAATATTCTCTATCAATCTGTAATCGACCATGATACAGATATGAATCAGCCACGATACGATCTTTTGAATACTTAAAACATGTGAATCGATTTTCAGCCACTATTCTGCTTTATTTTCAATTAATGGATAGCTAGCTAATTGATTCAGAACACTCGTGCGCGAATAGGTAATAAGGAATGGGGAATGAATCAGCCCTTTGTTCAATTACTTTATGTTGATATCTCAATTTTGCTCAACTCCTTATTTGTTGAACATGAGGTACCTTGTCCAGCCCTGGTAATGGTTTTTCAAAGTTCTGGTGCAACATTCTTTTGTTTTACTGGGGAATTTTGCGAAGTTGCTTGACGTCTAAAGGTTGAAACTATATAAGCGTTGAAGTTAATGCAAGCTATATCAAACTCGATAGTTCTGAAATACGGTAGTTCGTATAAATTTTATAATTTCTTGAAAGCTTTGGATTATTAATTTATTCTCTTGTATGCATCAGTTTAAAGCTTTTGAATGATCAGTCACTTCGTTTGATCGAAATTATCTTTTATTCGATTGTTTTTTTTTTTTTTTTTTTAGTTTTTTTTTTTTTTTTTTTTGTAGACTGACATTTTAGTTTATAATTGGTGGTGATTGCAATTTAGATTTAGACTCTAGAGTCAACAGGAACCCTAAGGCTTGATTTGGTAGGGGTTTAAGCAGGGAAGGGAATGCGGGATTAGGTTGCTATGAGGCGGTGGGAAGAGAGTCTCTTTTAGGGTTCTTGTTTGGTTGAAGGGGGAGTGAAGGAATATATATCACTTTCTATTGTTTGGTTGAGGGGATCAGAAGGAGAGGTGAGTTGATGAATAAGTTGAAGTACAATAATACCCTTTTCATTAGGGATTTTTTAAAAGAAAAGAACTAGTAAAAATTTATGTTCTATGTTGAAAATTTTCACCTTTTGGACAGCCGTTAGTTCTAATAGCTTGAGTTCAAATTGCCTTTCCTAAATTAAGTTAATTAGTTAGCAACACTTTATTATTTTGAAGTCTTAGGCCTACGCGTGTTTGACGTTATTATGATAGTGTTCTCATCATTTACCTGAAGGTGTTATTTCAATATAGTCCCTCAAATCTTCAATATTTCAAAATTAGTCCCTCAAACCATGGAACTTGCTATTAGATCCCTCAAATCATTACATTGCTTGCAATTAGGTTCCTCTGTTCATGTTAATGTCTATTTAGTTAACTGAGCTTGAGTTAGGCCTTAACTTCACATGGGTAATCACTACAATGCCCTTAGGTTAAATTCGCACCACCACCACCACCACCACCACAAAAAAAAATCCCTATTTCTATCATCTGCTCTCTTTCATCGCAATAGGAAAGTGCAAGAAATTGATTTCCTAAATTTTCCCCTTGCCTCCATGACCACAACTTAGATTGCAAAACACACTAACAGATACAATGACATCCATCACTATTAGCTTCATTCACTAATGTACTTGAACCCGCAAACATCATTAAAGAGCTTAAACTCTTCTCAATGAGATTAATCGACTTTAGAGATGGATGACGTTTTGGATGAAGGTTTCTTGGGGATTTTATAGGGTTGAGATGGGAAAAAGCACTGAAAATGGGTTAGGGTAAAGAGAGAGCCATTGGACAAGAATGGTTTTAACAGATTCTGGTCTTGTTTAGTTTAAAGGATCTAAATGGGTTGGGTTCTAAACGGGTCCGGCTTTATAAGGTTGGAAACTTAAGGGTATAACAGGAAACACACCACTAAAAGTTAGATTTAAAGGAATATATTTTAGATCTAACTGTTGTTAACCAGCGGAACCTAATGGAAAGCAATGTGATGATTTGATGGACCAAATAGCAATTTCCATGATTTGAGGGACTAATTTGGAAATAATGAAGATTTGACAGACTAAGACCAAAATAACCCCACTTAAAAATATATAATTTTTAATGTATGATAATTAATCCAAAAAAGAGGAATAAAGCTTTTTATAGGGTGGGTAATTTCAGAATTATGAAAACCTTTTGAGGATATGAAAATCATGAGACAACTTTTTTCTCCATTCCCTGTCAGTATTTACTGAACATTGCTCGTTTCAATCTTCTTTTCTCTTTCTCTCAACACTCCCAACCACACCCCCACCCCCACCCCCACCCAAAAAAAAAAAAAGACGCAACTCTACTCCCCTTTCTAAACCCCCCTAACAAATGTGAATTCTCATTTTATTCATCCCCTTTGTTTCTCATCCTCATACCAAACAAGGGGAGATGAGGTGAGATAAGGTGCTCAATGAGGTGCAAGGAAGGACATACATTTTGTGCTTCTTATTTGGTTGGAGGGGAGTGAGGGGAGGTCCATGTTTTTTTTTTCTTGTTCGGTTAAGCGGATGGGAAGGGGAGGTGAGGTGTTAGAGTTAGTTAAAGTACAATGATATCCTTTCTTTTTGTGAGAGAAATATAGGGTTTGATAAGGTAGACAATTGGATAACTATGAAAAATTAGTGAGGGTATAAAAGTCGTAGAATAAATCTCTCCTCTTCTCGTGTTTCCCTCCAAATTGGAAGGATGTTTCTCCCTTTACACTTAATTCTCTAGTCATTTTGCACTTTCTCCCACTACACTCCCACACCAACACCCCCCACCCCAAAAAAACCCACCAAGAGGATTTTTTTGTTTTTTTTCCCTCACCTCACCCCCCATCCTCCCCTACCAAATCAAGCCTAAGTACAACAGAACCCTGGAAAGTTCTAAGGTGATGAGTTCTAGTTATAATGCTTGGAGTTATTTATTTTAGACAATTTTGATAGTTGTCACGCAATTTTAGCTTGAACTATAGATGGATAGGGAGGAAAAAATAACCGAGGACATAAATCTATACGTGTATATTTCATTGATTTATAAAGATTAGAAATAGGCCTAGATATGTTTCGCATTCCCAAAATAAAATTAATTTTTTTCGACAGTGCCACTGAATAATTTGTTTATAAGAGTCATCATAATACATACTTATATACAGATAATTAATTATCAATTGTCTTTTCATTTTGTTAGATGAACTATCATGAGATAGCAAGAGATAACACATGAAGTTCTATCAAACAAATGTGACTATAGTGGCTTCAACAGTAGCCTATCCCTTGGTAGTTCATCTAGCTAAATGAGCTGTCACCTCATATCTATTTCTTCTCATATACATATATAACAAGTAATGTAGGCTAAATATCAGAACAACCACACCCCCCCCCAAAAAAAAAAATGGACGATTATTGGATAATCCCTATAACTTTGAAAATATCAAAAACCTCCTATAAGTTTAGGGATTATCAGAAAACCCCCATTAACTTTGAGATTTTATCTTAAAACCACACTCTTTTCAGAGGTTCTCTGATAAAACCTCAAAGTAACAGGTTTTTCTAATAAAATATTAAGTCAAAGGGGGTTTTCTAATAATCCCTATACTTAAGGGGGTTTTCTAACATTTTAAAAGTTATTGGGGGATTTCTGATATCTTGAAAGTTATGAGGCTGATAATCATCCAAATTTAAAAGGGTTTTCTGATTTTTAGCCAATAATACACACACACACAAATACAGAGAGAGAGAGAGAGAGAGAGAGAATGGCATTCATCTTAAAAGTAAATGAATTCATGTTCAAGGAAATCATAAAACAAGTACCTCAGATAAAAGTGATTTGACTTGTTTAAGCTGATTGAGCGCCTTGTCCAATTCCGTGAGCAAGCCAACCAATTCCGGAGCAGAACTGCAACAAGCAATCATTCCGGTGAAAAATGTAACAATAATAAATATCATTCAAAAGCAAAGTATGCCCATAAAAGACAAACAATTCAGATGAGTGTTTGGATCAAAACAAGAAATGATCATATATTAGTACAACCAGAAAGTGAGAATGCTCAACATATATGTCCATTATTCTAAGAAACAAGGTTTTAAATATTGAATATCGAGGAAATATCGAATGGCCAAAATTCATATTGGATTATAGATATCGGGAAAATATTAGGGATATTTGGCAAATATTGGAATGCCATAACAAATGTTTGCATGTATAGTATAATAAACTAAAATGTAATCCCAACATACTAATTAAAATCTAAGCATACAAAATGTAAATAATATATGTTTAGGATCATTAATTAATCTCGTAAAACAAATAAAAGTACAAATCAACATTGTAACACTGTCTGATTTTTTTGCCAAAACGTCATTTGATATAATGGGAAAATCATTATATCTCACCCAAAAATTGCCAAATGCGGTATATTCTTTTGCCACAAGCCATATAAAAGGATATATTGGGCAACGTATCAGCTAATATATCAGCAATATCTGTGATATATCGCCTAAAATAACCAAAAAACAGTACATTACATTTAGAAACCATATCGGTCACGACAAGCCCTATAAAAAAGTATATCAAGCGATATATCGAGCTATATCGGGATATTTAAAACAATGCTAAGAAATTATTTTAAACTTTGAACTAATCCAGAAGCCTTCTTAAACCACCCACATATGTTGCTTCTTCACACCATATGTTGCTTCTTAATTGCGAATATACCCATATACTATCACCCAATTGCTAATATACCCCATGTAGTTCCATTTGGGCGGATAGACCCCCTGGAGGTCCGAACTCCGTGATCATATTGTGTGTTTGAATGTGCTTTGGCGTTTATTCTTATTTGTGCTCATTGCCCAATTGCCATTGTCTCATTATTTATATGATCCACTATCTAGTTCTTATTGTTTACCCATTGTGTTAGTTTTCATATCCTTGCATATATCATATTGTATATCTCTTTGGTAGGATACCCCCCCCCCCCCCAAAAAAAATGAACTTTTTCAACTCTTTTACAAGTGAAAATTTTTTAACAATTGGGGGTATATTATCATCAAAGGAAAATATATAACTAATAGGGGTCTATCAGCCTCCTCTAAACTATTTTCACTCTTTTTAGAGCCAAATAATCCCCTCAAGGGGTCTATTAATAAATGGGCAATAGTACATGGGGTCTACTCACAATTATCAAAGTCAGCACTTTGACCAAGAAGAACAAGATTACACAATTTCATGACAAAATAAGTAACTACAATATCGCGACCCATGGATCCTTATGATAGATAAAAATGCACAGTTCTCTTAAAGATCAAAATGAAATTGCTTCTTTAAGAAACCTTGTCTGAAACATCTAATACGATGACAGGAAGATGGATCAAAACACCTATGGAAGAATTTGCTACATAGCTTCTTCGTTTCTTTTTTTTTCGTCACTTCTGACCACTAACGGCTAACATGAGCATAAACAGTACAAAAGATTAAAAATTCTTCATTTTCATGATCCATTTGCACAATCAAGATTATTGAAGCATGTTTTCATTTCATATTTTACCCATACTGCTTACTGTTACCACGTTGATCACTGACATGTTTATCAATGAATGTGCACCTTTATTTCTTGAGATTCGATTTTGATGCTGATGCAGTAGCAACTATAAGGAAAAATAATTACAGGAGGAAAAGGAGAGACAAAGAGATGAAACCAGGATTCTGATTTTAATCGGTGGTATGCAGCAGTAGCAGCCATAAAAAGGATCTGGATTATGGGCCATGGTCAAAAATCATCAGAACAAAATATTCTCAACTCACGACTTCCTAACCAGGAAGACTTTACTAGCATGTTTCACAATGTAACAGACTAACATCCAAATATGAATTTGTGATTGATAAACATCCAATAAAAGAATCTAATTTGTTTATTCCTAACATCCAAATATGAATTTGTGATTGGCTAACATCCAAATATCTAATTTGTTTATTTCCTTGAGGCTTAAGCCCATTGCAGCCTGAAGGACATGAGCGGTCACAGAGGCTTCTGTGGATGGCTAGCTTTTCCCGTAAGATTTTAAATTCATTAGTCAGGTCCAGTGTAAGCACTATAGTTCCAGTAATGAGTTACTAAGGTCTAATGACCTGTGTAATCCATATCAAGTTATTCAGTAAAAACGAGCAAAAAGGCCATATAAGAAAGAACTTGAAGCAATAGCGCACATGCACACACATGCACGCACGTGCACAAAAAAATTTGCTCAGCTGAAGGGGTCATGTAGGACACAAACATTCCGCGTTTGTCTAACACCTCCAGTCCATCAAGAATTGGCATAAAAGACATGAATAGTAACGTTCAGGAGATAACCCACAGGATGTCATACCTATACACCACCTCCATTTGCTCCTCTTTTGATAAGCAAGTAAGATCCTTTCTCACTTTCTCATAACTGTCAAAGGGATTGTCTACAAGTGAAGCATCAACATTATTTTTCAGGGAAGTTTTATTTCCAGCAAAAGCACCCTGTAAAAAGGTATATCACTTTCAGGAAGCCAAAACTAAGGAAGAAAAAGTAATGCCTACATTTCTTAATATGAAACTAATATTCTATGAGTTTACATAGAGATTTACAATTTCAAATCGTGATGTAACAAATATACTTCTCTAAACAAAGAAAGCAGATCATGAGAAGGTATCTGTGCAGTAATGGCTATCCGCTCAAAGTTGCAACTTCTTAACAAAAGCCATCCATCCAAATTATAAGACACAAACTCCCCATAAATTCATGTAGCAATTAATATCCAATTTGCACACTTGATGGATATCAGAAAAAATGTCAAAAAGTTCAAGATGAAACACAAGGGTATTAGTTATTACCTTGAAGGCCTTTTCTTGCCCATCTGAATCACTATCAACTTCGTTGTCATCTTCCAGGCCAAAATCTTCCATGGCAAAAGAGTGTGCCTTCTCTCTTTGTATCTTCACTACCTCATTCTCCTCTTCCTTGAGGAGGTCCTCATCACTTGATTGATGCTTTTGGTTGAAAAAAAAAGTAGAAAGTGGTAGAAATTAGGGTTGATTCAAGTTCCAACACAAATTACTTATTCTAAGAACATATAAAGGTTTAGTTGCGTGGAAGTAAGGGAATTTCATACCTCAACATCAACATTGTCAGCATTATAATATCTGTCCTTCTTTCTACCCCATGGGACCTTTTTTCCTTCATCTTCATCTTCATTGTCATCATCATTCATGTCATCGTCAACTCCGCCAAACTTCTGCTTGAGATATTTCGCCTGTCTCGCAACTGAATAAATTTCTTTATCAGATACTTCAAATAACTTATTTTCAATATAGAACACTTCTAATATTTTCACATGAAAAAAAATTAGACAACCATAATTAAAATTAATCCAAGAGAGCTCATCTATAAACATGCAAACTAACTCTAGTATAATATCGTATAGTACTTTACTTCTTTATTATTGAATATAAGAAAAAGCTACAAAGATGCAACAAGTAAATCACAACAAATCCAGTGCTCGTAAACAGTATATAACAATGAATCTTGAACAAAGAATATCCCGTTTCTGTTTTAAAATAAATAAAGCAATACAGAAGGCTAAGTTTATAGTATATCAACCACCAAAGAATATTTCAAAATTAGTTCCATCACAATAAAGCAAATCTATAGATATGATTTTTGTTTTTAGGGAAGCATGAACGGGAGATCCCTAATTTAGCAGCACATAATAATCACAATAGTAGTAGTCATGCTAATAACAATAACACTAACAGCAAAGAAATATAACTTGGCAATGTCTCGCTGTTTGTAACTCTGTTGAATGTGATCTACTTGAAAAGAGACACAAATTAAGTGAACTATGATCGTATTAAAAAAATCCAAAGTTATAAAAAGGAAACAAACATAAGAAAACACTATAATCTCCAATAACCAATTCAACTTACTCTTTGCAGCAAAACCCTTAAGTGGAACTTCTTCATCAACACCATCGTCGTCATCTTCTTCATCACCATCATCCTCGCTTTTGCTATTCTGACTGTCCTCATCATGACCCTAAACACCAATCACATTATATGACAACAAATAATTCAACACCTAAGTACCCATAAAAAATTGAAACATATATGCACAAAATTTAACGGTAGACCTAAGCACAATTCTCTCAATGTAAGACAACTGTAACTGTTACCTCAAGATCAAACACCGATTGCTCCATTTCTTCGTCCGAATCAGCTGCGCCAATAATTACAACCAAACAGCGCAAATATTAGCAAGATTTCACACTAGGGTTGCATAAAAATCACAACTTTATTAACACTCACCAGCATCCCCATTGATACTGAGAGGAACCATATCCCGCTGCTTATGAACTGCAAGCACGAATCCAGAAAGACTATTAGAAACTTAACCAAATTAAGAATGTGAGAAGATTCGATTCAACTAATGCTCACAAGCGTCGACTTCGTCATCGATGTCTTCTTCTCTAAAGACGTAATCTTCGTTCTCAACTACAGCGGATTTCTTGCCTGAGGGTTTCCTGGGTCTCTTCGATCCTTTCCCCATTGCTCCAAAACAAAACACCGAGAAAAAGATGAACCTTCAGCCCAAAAATATCTTTAATAACGGAAAAGACTGAGGTTTTTGTATACTAACTACCTGTGCTTTACTTCTGTGACTAAGAGAAGCGACGGAAAAAGATTTAGGTATCGGAGGACGGCGGGGGGGAGAGAGAGAGAGAGAGGGAGAGAGGGAAATTCGCGCGAGGTCACTGATATGGCCTTTTGATTTTTTAGGGCAAAGATCGGCGGATGATATCGTTAATGGACAATTGTAATCGGGATCCGACCCGTACCCACACCATGCCCGTTAGGAAGTTCAGGAAGGTTTTGATGTGCGTGAGTCAGCCCGCTTAAGTCGAATATATTTTGTAGTTATTAGTTTCAATAAATGTTTTAATATAAACTTTGGTTTCTCAGGAATAAAAAATAAAAAAAACATTAACGTAGCTAGAAGCATGTAATTTTATATATTAAAGAATTCATCCACTATAAAAAAATGCGTAGTTTGTTTTTTGAGTTAAAAATAGGACTACATGCTCTATTCAGAATTGTGTATTTACATATTATTAATTGGCAGTTATTTATTAAATTAGTACTATAGAACACATTTAAATTTGATTTCAATCCCGTGAATTTATGCTCAATATTACTTATTGTACTAACATCATTGTAATTTTAACTTTTTCAGTTTTGATTTACTTGCTACCATCAAAGTTTATTCCATTTTTAACTTTGCTATCTTGAAGCTTTTTCCCTCTCTCCCAAAACATACCCTAATACTTACCTAATTTTTAAATTTTTTTACCACAAAGTTTTTTCGCCCTAAAAACACTAATATTTCAATAAAACTTAAGGCTAGCATCCTAAACTTCAAAGTTTTTTAACTGTAATATACCAAAATTTAATAAAATTTTAACAACAAAAACATAATTTTAACAAAAAAATGAAGTTTTTTTGAAATATTTAAAGTTGGAATATCATAGTAAAAAATTCCCCTAAACACCATTTAACAAAAAAAAATTAAAATTGTTTAGGTCTGTTAGAACCACAAAATGCAATGCATATAGCAAGCAACTCTAGACTTATAAATGGGGCCAAGTTCTACTGACATTACCCACTTATTTCCTAGTGATCAATATTCAATGCACGTCATTTTGCATCTTTATTTTGAGCACAACAACATAAAGCAAGTTGCTCAAGACTTTGGAATTATTTTTAGGTAATAGAACTAACTTTTAGGATTAAAACTTAAAAATTTTAACCTCTTAGGTGGCTGGTGAAAGAGCCATATAATGTCCATTAAGGGGCTATTTGGTTGGCTTAAAAAACAAGGAAATCAGTTATACGAAACCTATTTCCTATAATAGGTTCTTTTCTTATGTTTGGTTCACTTCTTAAAACTAAGAAAAGTGATGTCATGAGATGAGTTATCACAATTTTATTAGATGATGTGACTCATTTTTAAGGAAACTCATATATAACTTTTTTTAGGAAATTGATGGAAATCAACTTTTAATGGTTTTCTTATCATATTTCCTTTTCTTTGATTTTAGGAAATCAACCAAACATGCCCTAATGTCACAAGACACCTCTAAATTATTGATTTTTACTTATATTTATTACTTAAGACACTATGAGGATTAAGATAACGTAGCACTAAGCTATATAGGTATACCACTTGGATAAAATCCTCGATTCGCCACTATGTGTGGCAATGTATTATAGTTTTTGTATGAGCTGGAGATGTAGATATATTACCCTCTTATAATGGGAGAAAATGTGATATTTGACTAGTAAAATAATTTTTTTATAAGAGAAAGAAGATTGTTCATGATTATATCTTTTCTAGGAGAAAGATAAATGTGAAGTGGGTTCCAAAGACATAAGCGTAACTAACTAAATGAAGCTCAGTAGGAGATAAATGCAATAAAAATAATGCTCAGCAGGCGAATAATGTAGATAAAGGTAATGTTCTGCAATATAAAAATGTCAATTCTCAACAGGAAACTAAATTGAGAATCCAAGCCAATATAAATGCACAATAATGGAAAGAAGTGACAAAACCTGGAAACTCTGAAGTAGTTATCAATGATACTCCTTCTATGATCCCTCAAGTCAACCATATCTCCTCATTATATGTGAATGATGCAAAGAGGCAAAATGGTGAATGCAAAATAAATCTCACCTTTTATAGATAGAGATGGACCTTCAACTCAATGAGTTTAACATGTTGCAATGTGGGAGGTTTTAAAAAAACCTCTCAAACAATACTTGTCTAAAAGTCTCTTTTTTCGATTATGTGTCTTGTATCGTTATCTTAGAAACCAGAGTTAAAATGAATAAAGATTCAGCTACACTGAGGAAAATTGCTAATAACTGGGGATGGGTGCACAATGAGACTAAAGACTCTTAAGATTGTATTCATTCTTACAGTCTTTTTCATATGAATCATATAGGACGTCATTTTACATAGTCTACTAAGCAAGGAAATGGTGTTAGAATCTGTACTAAAATTAATATGGTCCTTATCAACATTGCTTGGATTATTGCTTACAATGCTAGCCAAGTGGATTTTTTATATTCCTCTTTCTCTAATCATTCACCTGGTGTTGTATCCATCTTTGAGGATCAACACAACTCTAAAAAGTCGTTCAGCTTCTTTAACATGTGGGCTAAGTATCCTAAATTTAAAAAACTATTAAAGAAAGTGCGGATAAAAAATTTCATTGGTTGATCTATGTTCAAGTTAGTACATAAACTAAAAGAACCCAATATTGAGTTTCAAGGAGTTAATAAGAAGGAATTCAGGTATATTAGTAATCAAGTTTTAAGAGATAAGTAGGAGTTAGAGACTATCCAGAATCAAATGCAAAATGACTTGTTTAATTAGACACTCATGGAGAAAGAGAAAGAGATTCCTAATAAGTTTTGGAAGCTAGCTAATATTGAAATGCCATTTTTTTAACATAAGGCAAGAATCAATTGGGCTATATAGGAAGATAGATGCAGGGCCGGTCCTGAGCATTCGGGGGCCCTAGGCAAAAATTTGTACAAAAATCCTAAAGGGGCCCTCCTTCTTACAAATGACATGTACATGTTATGGAATGATCTTACTATGAGCTCGATGAATCATGACTCGTTCATTCTTGGGATCAGGACTAAAATGTTGATAATAGTGCTCAGGGCCGGTCCTGAGCATTCGGGGGCCCTAGGCAAAAATTTGTACAAAAATCCTAAAGGGGCCCTCCTACAGTCAATATTTTCTGGCTCAAGTACTACTCGACTCTCTACAACTTCGGCAGAGTGGGCCGAGTGGCGAGTCCGATCGGGGCCAGAGCCGGCCTATACACGAAAAATAAATCCGTCTGAATCCTCTCGTGTTTCTTCCTTTCAATTAGAAACACTGAATTTGACATTGAACAGTAACAAAATTAATCGTGTTTGACAAAATTAACAACAAATATCGAAACAAAACCCAAAAAATTGAAAGGAATGGCTCACATGAAAGTTTAGAAGGATTAATTTTAGAACGTTAAAGTGCAATTTTCACTCTAAAAAAAAGGAGAAGTTGACAGAAAACAAAGGTTTTAATATTCAGAATTAAGGATTACCCACCAGCTAGCTGAACCAATCAAAATGTTCAAACTTTGACAATAGAGAATAAAAATTGATAAACTTTTAGAAAAGTACCGTCATCTTCAAGAAGCAAAGATTACCCATCAATCCAAACCCAAAAAAGATTCAAACTTTGACGGAAAAAAAAAGATCAAAACTCAAAAGCGTAAGAGACGTACGAAATTGCCAGCTCCAAGTTCGGGGCTTACCGCTACATACTCAACGTTCAGGTCGCCGGGCATTTTAAGAGATTCATTCTGTGGTCCTGTGGACTTGATTATGAAAAGCTTCCTTGAATGGGGGGCAATTCTTTGAGACTTGAATTGTGATCTGGGAAAGTGGGAATTAATTAATAAAAGATTTGACCGTTTGAGCTGTGAGTGTAAGGATGCCAGCTGATGGACGGGACTTACTTTGATTTTATTAGACTTTGATGGGCTTCTATGTAAGGATGCCAGCTATTTTTCGGGGGCCCTATTTTTTGGGGGCCCCAGGCGAACGCCTCACCTGCCTATGCTATAGGCCGGCTCTGGATAGATGTACTCATTACTTCCTTGATGTTTATGAAAAGTAGAAGATACTTTAATAAAGTTTTTGTTCTCTAAGATTCTAATGATAATAGATTAACTAAGAAAATTGTCATTATGGAGTAGATTTTAATGTTTTACAAAAGAACATACAAAAATCTAGGTGTCACTTGATTCGGTTTGGTTTATGTTTAATTCAAGAGCACCAGGATTTACTTATCCAGCTAGTCACTTAGGAAAAAAATCTGTTTTTTCAATTTTAAAATATAAGACACCAAAGCTTGATGGATATTCAACAAATATTTTCAGAAGTGTTTGGAACATCATTAGAGAGGATCTTGTTTATGCAAAGAAGGAACAAAGCTTGATGTATATTCAACAAAGATTTTCAGAAGTGTTTGGAACATCATTGGAGAGGATATTGTTTATGCAATGAAGGAATTATTTCTTAATGGGAAGTTTTTAAAATAGATTAATTCCATAACTATAACCCTCATCCCTAAAGTATTTGGTCCTAAATAGGCATCAGGCTTTAGGCCAATTTTATGTTGTAACTTTGTTTACGAAGTTATATCAATTCTCATTAGTAGGCTTCAAACTGTCTTGTGCTACCTCATCAGTGATGCACATAATGCTTTTATCAAAGGGAGAGTAATTACTAATAACATCTTATTGGCTTATGAAGTAGTTAAATATTACAACAGAAAGAATATTTCTCCTAGAGAAATGATAAATGTTAATTTAAAAAAGCCTATGACACTTTAGATTGGAATTTTCTACATGATTTGTTGTGTGGTATTGACTTTTCTTCCAAAAATATGCACTGGATCATGACTTGTGTACTACTTCCTCTTACTTCATACTCTTTAAAGGGGCTTTGCATGATTGCTTTCCTAGAAGAAGAAAAAATTTAGACAAGGAGATCATCTCTCTTATTATCTTTTAATCCTAGGTATGGAAAATCTCTTAAGATTGCTCAAGTTAACTTAAAAGAGGTATTCAAACACTATCCAAAGTATATCAAAATGAATATTTATTATCTTATATTTGATGATGACTTATTGCTTTTTGGTAGAGGTGATCCGGCCACAATGAAATCTCTACAGGATTGTTTAATTTGATGATGAATTTGGGAAAATATATGGGATCGAAGCCAATCCTATCAAATACTTTATATTTTTGAGGGGGTGTTGAGAATGAAATGAAGAATAAGATCATAACATCGCTTGATTATCCTGAAGGCAATTTTTGAATAAGATATCTTGAGGTGCATTTGGTCTATAAAAAAGGCTTTCGATTGCAAATTGTGAGGAGATGTTAAACAAAAAATTACTAAAAAGATTCAAAATTGGTATGCTAGATGCTTATCCTATGCATGTAGACTATAGCTTGTGAGAAGTGTTTTATTTTGGTGTGCATGTTTTTTGGTCACCAAAGAGAGTTCTTTAGAAAATAGATGAGATTTGCAGAAAGTTTTTGTGTGATTGTTCTCACAGATCAAACAATATTCCTCTTGTTGCATGGTAAAATATTTATCAAAATGTTAAAGATGGGAGGCTAGTAATTTTTTCTATATCTATCTAGAGTAAGGTATCAGCTATAAAATTGCTAAGGTGCATACATAAGAAAAAGGACATGTTATGGATCAAGTGACTACAAGAAAATTATTTAAGAAGGTACACAATTTAGAATGTCCCTATGAAACGGAATGATTCTTAGTCTTCGAAACAAGTTTTGAAGATAAGAAATGAATTGGTGCTAAAAATGGGTTGCAAAAAAGCAATTCTAGATAAATTTTGTTATTGGGGAAGGAATGACCAATTCAAAATATCTTGCATGTATAAGAATATTGCTCAACAACCATCAAATGCGCAATGGTATCATGCTGTAAGTAGTCTTCTCAATATGCGTAAGCATTGTGACGCCTCAGGGCTCACACAAGATTGCAGTCCATGGTAAAACTCGAATTATCAAACCTGCAAAGCACCAAACACCATGCTACGACATGTTTCACAATCACAGTCACTATCTCTCTAGTGGAATCAACAATTAAGTAAAGGTACAAAACAAGCAAATAATAGAAGTAGTATAAAATCAGATATGCATAGAAGAAGTATATCAATAAATGAGTCCAATTGAAAAAGAATAAAAATATCTCCGAGTCTGAAATACATCTCAACACAATGAGTCAAATGAAATCTCACTAAGGTACTCAGCCTCTAAAAAAATAAATACAACTCTAAAGTCTGAACAATGAATATAACCATACAGTGGAGCTTCAACTACTAAAACTGTGCAACGGCGACTATGCTAGAACTCCGTCATCCTGTGGCTCTCCGAAACTCTGATTTGCCTAAAAGAGATAATTTAAACAAAAAAAACAACAACAAGAGCGTTAGAACGCTACAGTAAGATCACCTCCATCCGTCCCTAGGGGAAGGGCTGCTAGATAAAGTGGAGACTCTATCTATTAAGCATAGTCTACCTATATCATTTTTCCTATATCTAATAGAGTTAATATTTAGACACCTACAAGACGAGACGTAGTACATCGAGCGAAATATTTCAAACAAGAAAATCCTCATATATATACCATATGTCTTAAATTATAGATCCCTAAATACTAATTCTAACTCTATGAATAAAAATAATACTCAAAAGAAATACTCCAAGCCTCAACCATATAGAACCAATGTCACAATCTCGAACTACTTCTTAAGTAGTTAGTGCAATAATAAGAGAATATCATTCAACTCAAAAATCACCATAGGCCATGTCATGTATGCCACACATCAAAGAATGTATCATACTCATGGGTAATCTAACATGGGAGTAACTACAACTGATACTACATATATGTGTGCATCTCCTTGTGTAATAGCGATACTCTTGTAATATTCTTATTCAATTGCTCTGCGGCAATAGGTTTTATCGCCCTATTCCGGATACATAAAATGACGATACTTTTATAATACTCTTACTCAATCGTCCTGCAAAAATATGTTTTATCTCCCTATTCCGGATACATGAAATGACGATACTTTTGTAATACTTTTACTCAATCGTCCTGCAGAAATATGTTTTATCTCCCTATTCCGGATACATAAAATAACGATAATATTATAATATTCTTACTCAATCATTCTGCGGCAAATAGGTTTTATCTTCCTATTCCCGGATACATAAAATATCTATACTCTTTATATGTATTTATCGATTTAACTTGCGACAAGAAGTATGTTCACACAACATAATCTAAGTGTACATGCACATATCTCAGTGTGCGTGTCCATAACTGGTGTTCACCATCATTCATGGTGTTAAACAACTCTTATGCGTCATAATATATTAGTACAAGATCGAGAAACTCTCTCAAAAACCAAAACAATATCGAACAAAATATGCACAACCCATAAAAAGGGGTTGGCGGTCGACCGCAATTATGCGGCAGTCGACCGCGATAGGTTTTCAGAGTTGCCTAGGCTTCTGCCTGGCACGCGGTCGACCGCCGGTTAGGCGCGATCGACCATGGATGAATTTTCTAGACTGTGCAGGTTTCTACACCGTGTTGTGTTCATGTCGACTTTATGATTCAATCATGTTTAAAACATACTAAAACATATATAAAACATATAACAACACTTAAACTTTGATAATCACTTACTAAAATTTTCTCGAACATAAATCAAACTCTTGTGTTAAGCTAATTAGGTTTTTTCACAAATATACATTGAATTGATCTCAAATCAATTACTATCATACTCAAACATTAAGTTATGTTATTTTTCATTATATAATATATTTTTCATTATTTATCATAAAATATTCAAATTTATGGGGTTTTACAAGCATATTTCATGATTCTCTTGTTAGCTATGTTACCAAGATTATTACTTACTTTTGATAGACTCAGTAAAATGAGTATGGTCAATAGTTATCAATGTGCTCTTTTGTGAAGCTGATTGGGAAAACCACAATTATCTCTTTTTCAGTTGTATTTTTATTGCAAAGACATGGAATAGGGCTATAACTTGCTTTAAATGGAGAAATTTGTGACTGTAGGTGTATTGTGAATTGATTTTCTAATGATTTAAAGGGCAAAGCTTATATAAAGAGGGTTAAGTAAATTGCATTTTCAGCCTACTTTGTTTGGATTTAGTAAAGTTGGATAATTTATAGAGGTACTAGATACTCCACTCAACAAGTTATAAGAAAAATCGAAGAAATTGTACTACGAAGCATTCTTAATCACCCAGTTTCAGTTGAACATAGAATTTGGGTTGAATCATTGTAATTATGAAATTTTACTTAATTTTGTAAACTTACATATGCCTTAGGTGTAAGGACTGTGAATATTGATACTAATTAAAATAATGTTTTTAGTATTTTAAAATATTTAATTATTAATTTTAGAAAAGTATTTGTATTTTCTCGATTTTGTAGAATTTTCTATGATTTAAAAATGTGATTTTATATTTATTTAAATGATTTAGATATTTATAAATTTATTTAGCACAGTAAAAATTTCTGGAATTTATCCGTTGTGTTACCGATACTATTACATATCATTTTAGATAATACGTGGTATTATTATTATTGTTACATATATTTTTGTATAATACGTTATATTATTAATTATGTATTATTTGTATAATTTCTTGTATTATTTCTACTGTTGTGTATTATCGGTCGTATTAGTACAATTGGTACGTTTTACTTTGTATATAATTATCCCATAATTATATGATTTTAAATGTAAGTAAATATATTTTTATTATTAATTATTTCCGTTTAATTGTACAATATGAGTATATTTCGACTATTTCGTATCAACTGTTGTATTAGCACAACATGTACGTTTTTAATTATGGATAATTATTATGTAATGTAGTTTAATTTTTAAGTACCCAAAATTATTTAAATATTTAATTAGTTTAATCATTAAAACGCCTA